GAAGTAACCTGCAGAATGGGGCAAAATATTTGCAAAATACCTTTCTGACAAGGGATTAATAACCAGAATATATAAGAAGCTCAAACAAATCAATCAAAAAAAAAATCTGATTTTAAAATGGGCAAAAAATCAGCACAGACATTTCTCAAAAGAAGACATAACAAATGGCCAACAAATACGTGAAAACATGCTCAACATCACTAATAAGAAAAATGCAAATCAAAACTTCAATAAGATTATCATCTCACTCCAGTTAAAACAACTTTTATCCAAAGACAGGCAAGAATGAAGGCTGGCGAGGATGCAGAGAAAGGCGAACCCTCATATACTGTTGATGGGAATGTAAATTAGTACAGCCACTATGAAGAACAGTATGGCAGTTCCTCAAAAAACTAAAAATGGAACTACCGTATGCTCCAACAATCCCACTACTGGGTATCTATCCCAAAGAAAGGAAGTCAGTATATTGAAGAGATATCTGCAGTCTCATGTTTCCTGCAGCACCATTCACAATTGCCAAGACATGGAAACAACCTTAGTGTCCAACAACATATAAATGGATAAAGAAAATGAAATATTATTCAGCCATAAAATAGAATGGGATCCTGTCATTTGCAATAACATTGATGAAACTGGAGGACATTATGTTAAGTGAAATAAGTCAGGCAAAGAAAGACATATTTCACATGTTCCTATTCAGATATGGGAGCTAAAAATTTAAAAAATTGCACTCATGGAGATAGAGAGTAGATTGATGGTTACTAGAGGCTGGGAAAGGTAACAGGGATGGAAGGATGAATTAGGGATGCTTAATGGGTACAAGAATACAGTTAGAATAAGATCTAGTATTTGGTAGCACAGTAGGATGACTATAATTAACAATAATTTATAGTGTATTTAAAAATAACTAAAGTGTGGAATTGGAATGTTCCTAACACAAAGAAATGATAAATGCCTGAGGCGGTGGATACTTCAATTACCCTGATTTGATCATTATACATTGTATCCTTGTATTAAAGCATCACATGTACCCCATAAATTCATATATACAATTATTATGTACCCATAATAATTAAAAATAAAAATCAAGCCCCCATCTGAAGAAACCAAAATTAGGCGCCACTGGGGACAGGATTCACTAAGATACCACTCATACTACATCTCTGTATTATTAGTAACTTTTCTGATTTATTTGTCCAAGATAATAAGGCATACAGGGCAGAACTATAGGTGGAGATACTTACGTCTGAGGTGTAAAAAGGCCTTGTTTATTGAGGTCCTGGGATCTTAATTCCTGCATGGAGAGGCGGCCAGCACCACCAGTTGAAACTGAACTGCGCTTCATGTTTATGACCTACATTTATGAATTCACTATTAAAAAAACTTCACAGACATAGATGGTACATTAAGCAACTATTTATCCTCAAATAGAAAGGCTGGCAGGCTTCATTGTTTCTTCAGGATAATCTTTCCCTTGGGACATATTTATTTGTTCATGCTCGTTGAAATCGTTTGCAGAGAACATCTATTCAACTTCAGCTTTAAATATTCAACATACATAAACATTTATTGACTGCACACCACGTAGAGGGTGTGCTAGGCGATGCAGGAGATACAAAGATGAATAAGTTATAATTCCTGCTTCACAAGAGTATCCATGGCAGCTAAAGCCCTGAATATTTACCCAGACCACATTACTACTGTTATCTGTTCCTATTTCAAAAGGAAGTCAAATAACTACCTTAATTTCTCTTATTCACCTCAAAATGTTTCCTTTTCTTTGGTCTCAAGAGAATGGAGCTATTTTGTTTTCTTTTTCTACCGCCAATCTTTCCTGCTCTATCCTAAACCCATCGTTTCCCAGTTTATATTCAATTATTGCCCTTTTGGTTTCAATTTTCCCTTCAACAAGGACAAATCATGTGGTCCACAAAATGGTCCCTAGGCTGTTCCATTTTCAAAACACATTAACATCTCATTTCCTTCACGTTTACTAGAAAGGTTGTCTCTGAGAATGCTCTTGATTGACAAATCTTTGAATCCTGTCATCTCTACGACATTAGACACTATGCACTCAGCCTTCTCAGGTCTTAACCTGGCTTCCAGGAAGGTGGTTATCCGTTTACCTCTGTGTACTCTTCAGTCTTACAGATTACATTCTTTCCTTCCTGGTTTTGACCCCCTATTTCCTCTCCCTCAATAAAGCTGTGTTCATCTTTTTAACTTCTCCATCCACTCCTATACGTCCACTTCCAATGTACTCTCAAGACTTAAGATGAAGACTTCCACACGTATTCTTTTTTTTTTTTGAGTTGGAGTCTCACTCTGTCGCCCAGACTGGAGTGCAGTGGCCGCTCCTGGCCACCGCAACCTCGACCCGCTGGGCTCCGGCGATCCTTCCACCTCAGCCTTCCCAGTAGCCGGAATTACAGGCATGCGCTACCACGCCCGGCT